CCGTAAGGACACATACGACGAAGATCTATCGGGAAAAAGCACTCCTCCTAGATAACGTAATATCCAGGCTCTAGCATAACGAACCAACACATGTACATCATCTATGTCATCAGAAATGTCCCCAAAGTTTGCTGTCAACCAAGATAGCTTCATGCGATGTCCTTTAATTTCAGACTACGGTGGAACAACCCCTAACAACTCCTCAGCTGCATAAAATCAAACAAAAAATTTAACTATTATTAATATAAAAAATATACTATAAATTTACAAATAAGTTAAAGTCAAGTTATAATTACCCAATCCCAATATATTTGCACTGCCTCGAGATAATACCGGTTCACCGTCAACCGGAAGACCAATAAGCATGCCAACGTCTTGAAGAGTAATTGTGCACTCTCTGAATGGCATGTGAAATGTGTGTGTCTCTGGTCTCCATTGCTCTACCAAAGCCGTTAGCAAACCAGGACTAACTTTGATATAATTAAGACGTGCTATCCATCCGAAACCAGCTTGATCTAGTAACGAAATTATTTGCTGTGGAACTCCCGCAATTCCAGGGCACGTTGGAGCAGCACGTCATGCTATTAATCTCCTGTCATCTTCTCTATTCCAAACATGCTGTGCCACATGTATATTTTGCAACGATAATAAATCATCGTCCACGGGTTCACATGTGACACGCATACCCCTAGAAGATGATGATGCCATCAATAACAAAATCTAATAAAATTAATTATTTTTGAACACATAATTTATTTTTTTTAATTTAATTAACATGATATAATCTATACAAAAATAACACACTAACAACCTTAAAAAATATATGTATATACGGCCTTTTCTCCAAGCAAAATGGCCCGTTATGCTTGCATTCTTATGTTTTTTTTTATAATTTTTTTACTACTTTTTTACGTCGGATTTCGTAATGTTCGACGTAAATTTACGTCGGTTTTGCAGGTCCGACGTAAAATTTACGTCTCCCGCTTTTACGTCAGTATGTTTTCTGACGTAAAAAGCTCAAAATATCCGACGTAGTACACCTCTTTTGTACTAGTGTATATTGAAGGTTTTTCTCGTCACATCTATTATTTGGAAGAAAAAAAAAAAGACACTCTTTAATAAAAGTTGATTTTTCTTTTGGCATATCAATGAAGACCAAAAAAGGTCTCAAATGTCTCCTAAGCTATTGGACTTTAGCTTGATCCATCATACTATGCTTTGATAAGATGTTTTAGGCATCAAACTTTTTAGTTTGATATATTTGACGCTACCAAACAAAGACAATTTGAAGACATTAATGAACATTTCATGTTTTATTTAGATTCATTTAGTCTAATGTTTTGTTATTCGTCAACATTTAGTGTGTCATTATCTTAATTCTATGCATTAGACAGGTTTCTAATATTATTTTTATATGAGCAATTTTTTTATTAAGTAATATGGTATAATAGATATACTTTAATCCATAAATAAAAGATTTCTAATGCAAATAAAATTTAATTGAAACACCATTCCAAATACATGTTTATAATTTTGTTATGTCTTTGACACTTATAACACATGTTAATTATTTCTCATTAGATTTCTAATTAAAAAACTATAGAATTTCTTATCAAATCAAACACTAAATTAACACTTCCTCGTAACTTAAACTCCTAGACCAACTCTTACATCTAAATAGATACCTCAAAGACACTAATTTTATTATAATTTCTTTTTGGTAAATATTCATAATAATCAACTTGAAAAATTTAAAACATTAAAAATAAAAATATTTCTCAGTATCTTTTTATGAAGATATTTATCATAGAAAATTATCAATTTAACTTTACTTGTTATGTTGTTATATGTATGCATGTTGTGTCTTATTAGTTGTTCTATATTTTGGATATTAATCATATTTGTACCTGTATGGTTACATTTATGAGTTGATAGTCTTACTTGGTCTTCTATTACCTTTTTTTCTCGCTCGAGAAAGTTACTTGCAAAGGCACATGGAGGTTTAAGTGAGGGTTTGAAATAGAGCAATAATTGTGCATTAATATATGAATAGTGCAATAATGAATAGTACCTACAGCTTGACTTACTCTCTATTTATATTAACCTTTTGGGCCTATGGGCCTTTTTGGGTGTTATATGTGATTACCAATTCGTTAAGGTTGATTAAGGGTGGGTTATCTTAGTGTAAATATCTCGTTGATCTTACTTATTGTTTCTTATTAATTACTAGTATGAAGTGATAATTTGTCTCTCATGGTCGACTAGTCTTCAACTTTGTGGGTATCCAAGGGGTGTTCGACCTCTTCTTTGGTCGAGAGGGGATTGATATTGTGTTCTTATGAGATGGTATTTTGACTTGTTATTATCATAAGTTGGCAAAGGTAATAGACCAGTCTTCAATCATAAGAGTGTTCAATATATATGTTTTTGGCCTTAGGAGCATCGGACTTATCTCATATTTAATATATTTTTTGCTTTTTTGGTTTTTTAAATTTAAAATAAAGGGCGCTATGGGCTATAGCGACTTCATTCAAGCTGTGACTGTCGCTATGGGCTGCAACAACTTCGTCAATATGACTTTCATGGCTTCTCTTGAGTTACAAAAATGCCACGTGTCACTGGTGTCGCTATGGCCCATAGCGACACCGTTATAAACAGTCCCAAATGCGTAATATGTTTCAAAACAACCTCATTTTGGTAAATAGTTTGTAAAACTGCACCAAATTGGTCGTTTAGCCACTAACAAGACTTTGGAAGAAAGTTTATAACTTCTGTCAAATAAAGAAAAGTTCTCTAGAGCAGGAGTTGCTACGGTACCCTCAAAGATCGAGGGGTTTCGATACATTCTTTTATGTAAACTTATAAAAATTATAAAAAATTAATTTAATTATAAAATAAATAATCTAAATTATATTTATAAAATAAAAAGTAAGATAAAATTATAGAGATTAAAATTATAAAATTTCAATAATGTTATAAAACATTAAAAAAGAAAAGAATTAATAAATA